TAAGAAAATTTGAAATTTCCACTTGTTGGTATCTGATGCCGTTTGCATTATAGTAACAAATCTTTAAGAAGCTATTTGTAGCTGAGATAAAATTTATTTGACTATGAGTTTGATTAAAATTCATAGTTTAGATTTGAGAAATATTCGAAGGCCGCCATACCGACCTCTAGTTTGTCTAATATTGTTTTTGCTGTTTTTAAATTTCTGGAAGAATTCTTTAACTTGAGTGAATTGGATTTTTATCCAGTCAAAAAAGCCAAGTGGGTTTGAGTTTGTGTCTTCTGTTTTACTAGTGTTTTCATTTTCCTTGGAAGCATTCCATGCATTTTTTGGTTTTTTCTCAGGGAGTGAAGGAAAATCCTTTTTGTTAAAATTTAAATTGTTCTTTTTTCTTTTCTTCTTTTTAAGCTTTAAATTCTTCTTTTTTCTTTTCTTCTTTTAAAGCTTTAAATTCTTCGATTTGCTTCTGAACATTATAAGGATGTTTACTGCAACCTTTGAAGGAAGAAACGTGATTTTGCCCACAGAGGGCACAGACAGGGAGTTTGTTGTCATTTTTTGTTTGTTTACAAGTGAATGTTTCATGAGGCTCTGCACATTTTAAACAGCGAGGTTTATAGTGACATTTGTCCCGTGTGTGCCCGTACCTTTGGCACTTATGGCACTGCACGGGTCCAGGGCGAGCTTTAAAAGGCTCGATAAAGACATCCAGACCTCTGAGTTTCTTTAGATCATATATTCTTTTACCTTCTTTATTTCTAGTACATTCTGCTATAAAAACAGGAAGATGAACTTTCTTTCCTTCAATAGTGTGAATTACTTGTCGAATTTTTTGAATTGGGATACCTTCTTGGGCAATTTCGTTTTTGATTAGTTCCATATTAGCTTTTTGGAAGTTTTTTAATTATTGCCTTGATAGGCTTTTCACTGTTGAGTTTAAAAGTATGAAAAGGAATAAGTAGTTTAGTTAGGTATTCAGTAACTGTGCGGTAGTGGTCTGAGTCATAAACTCTTATGGTCAGTGTACCTCCACTTAGGTTTCCACGATATTTTTTGATATTTAATTGCTCTTCAAAATCTTCTTTCATCTTATCCCAATCCCCCGTGAAGTCTGCTAAGACTATAGGGGGAATGTGTCCTGCTTTTTTGTTGGGTGTAATAAATTCACCTTCCTCTGCTTCCATATTGTCTTCAGGGTTTAGTTCCTCGAATTTATTTTTTTGAGCTGGTTCTTCAATTTCGGAATTTGATAGAGTTCTTTTATGAGTTTTTCTAGGGGTTATGTATCCTTCTTTATCTATTGTGGTTTTCTTTTTGATTCTAGATTTTTGACTAGCAGTAATATCAGATTGATTTGTTTCCTCTGTTGGATTATTTAGGGTTTCTTTTTGTTTCATTTCATTAATGTATAATTCTAAGATTTGTATATCCTTTTCCATAGCATTGACGTGGGCTAAGTGAACTTCAGTCGCATTATTTGGATTAAATGAATTTTGATAAGCATGAAACTCAGAAAGCATAAGTTGCTTAAGTTTTTCTAAGTTATCGCAGGTAACTTCCAGATTTCTGTGATTACACACAGATTTAATACGGTTTTCGATCGCCTCCTTGTCCATGATATGCATGAATCCTAACTTTTAACCTAATGGCGAAAAGAATAAAGAAAACATACTTATCGTGAACATCAAGAAGAGACGACAGCAACTCAGGATCAGCTTCAGTAGTGAGAGCAATGTCGTTTTCTCTTACTTCACAAAATCGCAGGAAAAGCAACGCCGCAGACAGAAAGAACAATTTCTCTAATCAACAGCAACACCTCATGCCAGCACTACCAAATAGAAAGTTGAGGGGGGAGGGACTTGGATATGATTGCGCAGCAAAGATCTTTTATACCAAGTCATGATCACATTGGATTATACAGAATTTACATTAAGCGAATAATTCAGTACATAGCAATTATATCGGATGCTGGGTTAAGATTTCATCGCATTCCAGGAATATTGCACAACAGAGATCAGATGACCGATTATTTTTCAAAATTACAGGAAGTAAAGAATATGTAAAAAAGTTTTCCGTTGCTATTTTTAGAATGAAGAGGGGAGCAAGAGCAGTTAAAGGACTATTGTTATTTATTATTAGAAAGGTACATATTGTATAATTTACATTATAAGGTACTTCTCCCGCCTTCTTAGCATGCCTTCGTAGTGTAGTGGTCAGCATGCTCGGCGCGTATTCGAGAAGTCCGTGGTTAGAGTCCCGGCTAAGGCTTTGCTCATTTTTCATCTTTCATACTTTAAAAAAAGTACCTAATGTCTCTGCAACATATATGCACATAATTCTTTTTGTAAAAAATATTGAGTCAATAAAGAGTGTCAAAGATGAGTCAAAGATTTTGAAATAATCTAGTCTTTATGAATAAAATTTCTTTTATAGGTTTTTTTATTCTTTAATGATTCTGGATTTTCATGATGCAACATCCAATAGCAATATGCTACGATACTAACACTTGAACAATCTTAATATTATTTTGCTAGTTCTTCAGTATGTAGGGTTTTCCTTATTCTGCATAGCAAATCATTTTAAGTTTGATAGTTTTCCTGAACTCCTCAACTTCCCCTCGCATTTCCTCGTCAGAGCGTGTTTTCGCTCGCCAGCGCACGTTTTAATACTATCTCGCTGTTACGCTAGTACTCCCCTTGGCCATTTCAGATAATCGTCACATCTGTTAGGTTTTGTTGAGTCAACCTAAGTTAGACGTAACTTAACATGCTAATCCAGCACTATTCTATTTTATATTTGAATTGATTTATAAATTACGTTTAAGTTTCACGGCAAGTGGTCGTCGTTATTGTAAAACACGAAGTCCGTGCCTTTCTGTTCTGAGTTGTATTAACAAAAGGCTACTTTTCCCCCTTCTTCTGTGCTGGTATTTCATTTACTCCTGGGAGAAAATTCACCAGATTCATTGTAGAATCTAGTTTAGTTTATGTGAAATAGAAGAGACAGATTTTACAAGTATTTCTTCAGTCTTCTTGCTTGCATACCAAGATATTTTGGGAAAACGTTAATTTGGGATTTTTAGAAAGAAAATTTTCTTTACGCAACTAAAACGTGTGAATTGATATGTTCACACAGTTAGGTTTCTTATTTTTACCTATAGATTTTGTGCATTGTTTAAAGGAGACTAAATGTTCTTTTCGACCTCAATATAATTTTTATATAATATTAAGATCCCTATATCTGCAAAACATACTGTCTATCTACTTAGGATCTGATAAAACACAAAAAAAGTTTACTTTTACATTTGTGAATTTTGGTCAATGTTTCCATTCAAACTGTTTAATGTGATTTGTTTTATATGAAAATATGATAAAAGAATATTATCTGCGCAGACAAGCATTTGTGTCGAATGCTTTTGTTGCCATGCTGTAGAAACTGTGTTTTCGTTTCCAGCTACCTATGCAAAACTATTCGATGTGAAGTATCTGACACACAAATAAATATAGATAAAACTATCAATACAAAGTAACAAAATTGACCGGGACATTTGCAATGAGAAACGTCTTCCCACCAAAAACACTAATATTCCTCACATGCATACCAAAACTTTATTTCTAATTTCATAATAAATGGACAATCATCGGATAAACAGACAAAAATGGTAAATTCTCTTAATAAATTTTAAGTAATTTAAAACATTGCTTTTGCAAATGTCATAAAAAATCTGTAAACTTTCTACTAAATTGGAAATTTCTTTCCACTAAAATATCAGTGCGCTAATTATTCGTATAGTTCGCTATGTTGACTTCAAAGACATTCTTAGGAGTCTTTTTAAAATATCGTTATGTTACGATGCATTACTACACATTTATCAGCTACGCGCTTTGGCTAGTTTAATTTTATTTTGATAATCACTAGTTAATATGATTTTAAACGCACTTAATTTATAATATATCCAACTAATAATTTTCATGACCATTATCTGATCAACTCATAAAGTATGTCTTTAATACCCTACACCTAATGCAGATTCCTTTTAAATATCTCAAGGGCAAACAACAGTTAAAACAATAGTTTGAGACAGACATTAGAAAGTAAGTAATTCTAGTGTTAGCTCAAAATACATGCAAATTATTTTTAAAAAGTTTTATGCAGTATCGAATGGCAATATTTTGAGAAATGATCTTTTGGCATGCAGCTCAGAATAAATGATATTACGTTGCTTAGAATGTAACGTCGAAAGAGTTCTTACACTAATTTCCGAAATTGTATCTTTTGATATTTCCAATTTCCATACAATAAATCTTCTGATTGTGTATAGTCTAAAATCTGAATTAGATCCCTCTTGAACGCGGTGACTGCTGTGGGGGGTCACCCGTGGCCGACACTCGACTTGGCTACAGCTCCGATGACAGACGACGCGACCAATAGTAAAAATACATAAATAGAGTTAAGTATTAATACCGATAAATTTTTAAATAATACCGTTGTTGCTATAATGGTTTGAAGAATAATTAACCGCAAAAATTTAAATAATGAATCGCAAAAATGTTCTAAAGCGTCTCGGGGGTCACCGTGACCCCCCACCACGAAAAATGCATTAAACACGATTATATAACTCATCTTACCTTCTGTAGATAATATTTTAACATAATATACATCTCATAATAAAACATTCATGATGACGCCATGGACAAAACACATAAAATAAGTGCGACAATCAACGAGTTAAACTATTTGATTGTAGGGGACCTTTAAATGAATTATTTCTCTATTATATTCTTGTATTATATATAAGTAAATTTTCTGGTATATATTGCATTATTTACATGTAGCAACATTCAAGTAATATCCGAATCCGCCAGGAAAATAATATCGGGGAAAGTCATAGCTTGGGATTACTGCAGCCAATTCCGTACAAACTTACTTTCTCTTAAGAAAAATAAAATAAAATAAAAACAATTGCAATAACTTCTAAAAACAGCAAATATTTAACTTACCAAACTCATAGGGATATTTGTTGCTAACCAGGTGGTAGTCTAAAGTATAGCAAAGTAGCCAACGTTTAACATCCATATCGAAGTGAACATACATCTGCTCTGAGACGTTCGTCAAGATATCTCTAGTACAAAAAAATTGTTTTCCATCTATGAATGATTTCATTATACTTATTATAATTTGCAAAATTCATTCTGTTCAATTAGTAGTACAAATTCTCTCTTTTAGGAGAAACTAAGCAATTTTTAGCATTATAGGATAAAAGAAATAGTACCCTTTCGACTATAGCACATATTTTATTTCCTGGTCATTTTATGCTTTGAAAGATTTCAAATCAAATACACTCATGTCCATAAATTAAGGATAATGCAAAATCAGGCAAAGGAAGAGTTAGAAGCAAAACAAATTTGACTTATTTGTAAAGCTTATTTATTAAACAAAAGGTAAAGAGCAAAAAAAGATGCTATATGTTTGATATTATTAAAAAAATTAGCGATTTTTTCTCCTTGGAGAAAATTACAAAAAAAAAAAAACTATTTATAAAAAACCAATATTACATGATTGGTATGATTGTTAATACATTGTATGTCTCCCAGACGATACAGTTCGTACAACGCCTAGGCATGCTGAGTATAAAATTATCGATCTGATCTTGGGGGATATTACACCACTCAAAAAGAAATGCTCTCCGAAGTTCCGGTAGACATGTAGGAGGAGGTTGACGGGCTGCAACTCGTCGGCCAAGCATGTCCCACACGTGTTCTACTGGATTCAGGTCCGGTGAGAATACTGGCCAGTCCATACGGGTGATATCCTCCGATTGAAGGCATTCGCTTACGATGTTTGCACGGTGAGGACGGGCGTTGTCATCCATACACACAAATTGTGCGCTATGGCGCCCCGAAACAAACGTACATGTTGTTCCAGAATGACGTCCCGATAGATTTGGCTTGTCATGGTTCCAATTTGAACATGCAGGTCAGTTCTGGAACCCAGAATAATTCCACCCCAAACGAGCACTCCTGCACCACCGTAACGGTGTCGTTCAATGATGTTTCTTGGTGGTAACGAGTACCTGGAGCTCTCCATATGAAAGTCCGGCGAGAATCAGACTGCAAGCTAAACCTGGACTCGTCGGAAAAAACATCACACAAGCCCACTGTTGCGGTGTCCACAATGCATGCTCTCTACTCCAGGCTAACCGCAGGCGACAGTGAGTTGCAGTAAGTGGAACGCATCTGACAGGTCTACGAGCATATAGACCAATCTGCCCTAAGCGTCTGTACACGGTCTGCCTTGAAATTGTCGTACCAGTGGCTGAAGAGAGCTGACGAGACAGGTCTGAGGCTGTGCTCCGCCTGTTTCTTTAGGCAGTAACTGCCAAATACCGGTCCTCATTCGGCGTTGTAACTCTGGGGCGACCTGTGCTGTAACGTCTACTCACATTACCATCATCTTGGAATTGTTGCCAAAGCCTGGACATGACACTCTGGGCAATTCCAAGTTCGTCTGATACTTCCAGTTGGGTACGCCCACATTCCAGACGGCCGATAATTCTACCACATAAAAAATCATCCAAATGTGTCCTTTGTGTCATAACTATTCGGTTATTGCACTGAAATGCTTATAAAGCGCCTGAGAACAATTTTACTTCTTTGCCTGTATTTTCTTATATATCAAATCTCTTACACTCTCGTCATTGTGACGTACCATTGGTGTCATCTGGTTACTTCCTGAAATTTGCATATGATTCTTGAAGATGTGTGTAGTGATTTTACACATGATATATTTATTTTAGAGTTCGATTTCCGCGTGACTCCGAATTATCCTTAATTTATGGACATGAATGTACTTAAATAAACTAATTAATTGGACACTCAGTGTATGATGAATATCATTCGTGTGCCATTTTGACTAACTTGCCTGTTTCATATTATTACTAAAAATAAAATTGGAAAATAAACGAGCCAATATGAAATTTAAAATTAAGAAATTAAGCAATAAAAAATAAACTCCAGTTTGGCGTAGATTTTGAATACGACTCTATTGATTTCGAGGGCTTTCGGATATGAGACTTCGAAATCGAAAAACTTTTATTCAAAATCTACACTAATTAAATCTGCACTAACTTTAATTCAAAATCTATACTAACTGTTGTCTACACTAACTTTTTGTTTTTGCATAATTTTAAATATTATAGCAATTCATGTAAATATTTGACCTTAACTCATCACATTTCGTCTCATATAGTATTTTAAGTATAGGTCGTGTATGTAATATAAGTTAATAATCTCTTAGTAGCTTTTAAAAATGATCTAAACTTAAGTACATCATTTCTAATGTCATTTCGTCTTTTATTGTATTTTCAGTATACGTTGTGTATGTAATATAAATTAATAATCTCTTAGTAGCTGGTAAAATAATCTAAACTTAAGAGCGCCATTTTCTAATATCATTTTTGGTAACCCCAGTGCGCATAATGCATTGCGGCATACTCTGAACCTGGATGTAAGAGGCATCATTAGAAACCTTTGTTCAAGGAAGCATTCTTAAAATTTATAATACTATTGATATCCCCCTTCTTCCCAAACCAAAATAACCAAGACTGGTCTGACATTACTCATCTAATTCTAAGCATTCTGCCATACAATAGCGTTTAAAATACAAAAAATTAAATCATATTTATTCTAGCTGCAGCAAATCCTCTCGTATAGTATTCGTATTCTAATAAACAGTTCAGGATGTGGTTACGTACATAACGGGACATAATATCTCATCATCATCAAGCAAAACTTACAAATCCCTGCACTTCTGTACAAATAAAGTTATATGGTGGTATTAAAAATCCATTTAAACGGAGTAAAACTAAAGCTCTTGGAACAAACTTCAAACGTACAAAAGATGGAATCAACTTAAAGAAACACTAATATATATAAATATGTTAGTTAGAATGGTGATATTCCTAATGTTTGCAATGACTCGCAGAAATAAATCACTGTTAGCATTAAAAATTTATTACGTAAGAAAGCTACTAGTTCATACACAACAGACAACAACACCTAGATAAATTTATTCAGCAATTCATAGAATTACTCTCACTGTCTAACAAATACACGCTATTGCAAATATATATATATATTGGGGGACATATATATATATATATATATATATTTATGCAAATATATATTTTAAATATATATATATGCAAATGCAAATATATATTTTAAATATATATATACACACATATATATATGGATCCTAAAAACGTTGAGCCACATCTACAAAACGCGGCATGCAAATGTGGCTTGATGAGTTGTGTAAATGCACTTGATTAACAATCACAGCACTGTGAAGCGATAAAAAACAACGCGCGTCTGAAGTGCGAAACTGATATAATATAAAATGGCAGGTACGGCGAGTGACAAGCATTTATACAATATGGTTGACTTGCAGCATTTTCCTTTTAAAAAATCTGTCAGTGGCAGAAATCACAGAAAATTCAGAAATATACCTCCAATAATACCCCGCAAGTACTAAAAATGACCGGACCTGTGTTTTCGCGGTAGGTTTAAGGAAGTCCTTTGTGGCTTGGATTTTTATTTCTGCTGATTTTCTTTGACCTTGTTCTACTACATGACCTAGATATATGACAGTCATGTGAGCAAACTGACATTTCGAAGGCTTAATATGCAGTTTAGCAATTTTCATTTTCATCTTCTTCAAAATAATTTCGAAGTGCTTCAAATTTTCTCCCCAGGTTTACGAGAATACTGCAACATCGTCAACATAGGGTACAGCAAATTCTTCAGTTTCTTAATAATCCTTCCATCAAGCGGCTAAAATCATATGGTGGATTTTTCAGCCCGAAAGGTAACCTTAAGGGTTTAAATGTTTCAAAACTGGTCACAAAAGCAGCGTAACGCGCTGAACTCGTTTATTTAGTGGGATCTGACAGTAACCTCGACTAAGATCTAAAACAATTATATAGCTGGCAGATGACACTTTTCCCACTAAATGTTCAATGTTTGGCAAGGGAAAATATTGTGTCCTAGTTGCCTTATTCAAGCGACGGTAAACAATGCACGGTTTTGCCTCTTTTCCAGGAACTTCAACCAGTATGAGTGGAGAAGTAAAATCCAATTCACCTGGTTCTATTACTTTGAGTTTTATCATCTTACTTCCCTTTTTAAAATCTCGTTTTTTCTGGCAGACATCCGATAAGGTTTTGCGCATATTGGTCTTTCTGCTTCTAATTCTATATTTATGTTTGGCAAGGTCAGTACATCCTGGTTCATTAGAGATAATACAAGAATACTTGTATTTATGCTTTAATTAACTGCTTTAAATCTTTCCGTTGGTCTTCAGATAATAGTGAATTCACCTGGATGCCTTGCAAAACTTTAGACATTTCAGTATCTGCGTTATAATTTAGACGCGGTATTTCATCTTCATATTCGTTTATCTTGTCTTCTAAACACAGCAAGTTTATATTTTCTGCTCGTTGAAAATATGGTTTCAGCATATTAATGTGGTTCACCTGAGTTTTATTTTTCTCGGGAAAATCGACTACATAATTTGTCTCTGATAATTGTTGAACTATTTTTCCAGGACCTACCCATTTAACTGAGAGTCTGTTGGCTTCGAGGGAGCTACAACTAGAACTAAGTCTCCTTCTTGAAATTTATGTTATACGGCTGTGTGATCATACCAGAGTTTTTGCTTTTCTTTGGCTTCTTCCATATGCTGGACAGCTAGTTCTTGACATTTCCTCATTCAATTCATTAGTTCAAAAATATAGTCCACTACTGTATTTTCTTCCTCTTCTTTACCAGATAATTTTTCGTACAATTGCATAATTGGAGTTCTTAAGTTTCTGCCATGAACTAATTCTGCAGGCGAGAAACTTGTACTGTGTGAATAGTCGTTCGAAGAGCAAATAAAGCCTGAGGTAAGATTTTATCCCAGTCCGAACCAGATTCTAGACATTAGACTCGAAGAATTCTTTTTAAAGTTCTATGCATCTTCTCTACAGGATTGCTTTGTGGGTGGTAAACAGAACTTCGTACAACCTTAATTCCGAATTTTTCTAGGAAATTCGATGTCAGCGCACTCGTAAAAGATGTA